TAGTTGGTAGTTGAAGTGTTTGTGGGTCCTGATACTATTTTAGTTCAAGTGTTGGGTACCTGGTGCCGTACGTATATGTAGGTGATATCGGTGCGCGTTCCAGGTCCGCTTTAGTTGTAGGTGGCTGTGTCGTGGTTCCTGGTGCCGTAGTTGTAGTTGGCAGTATTGAGGGTCCTGATAACGTAGTTGTAGTTGGAAGTGTTGTGGCTACTGGTGCCGTAGTTATAGGTGGCTGTGTCGTGGTTCCAGGTGCCGTAGTTGTAGGTGGCTGTGTCGTGGTTCCTGGTGCCGCTATTGTAGTGCTGTCGTTGAGGTCCTGATAGCGTAGTTGTAGTTGAATTTGTGCATACTTGGTGCCGTAGTTAATAGTGGCTGTGCGCTTGGTTCCAGTGCCGTAGTATGTAGGTGGACTGCTGTCGTGGTTACTGGTGCCGTAGTTTTATTGCAGCTATTGAGCGTTCTATAACGTATTTGTAGTTGGAAGTCGTTGGGCTACTGGCTGCCGTAGTTATAGTGGCTGTGTCGTGGCCTTCAGTGCCGTGTTGTATCGTGGCTGATGTCGTGCGTTTCTGCGTGCCGTATTGTAGTTGGCCAGTATGAGGTTCTGATAAGTATTAGTTGAAGTGTTGTGGCTACTGGTGCCGTACGTATAAAGCTGCTCGCGTGGTTCCATCCCGTAGCTTAGTGGCCTGTGTCGTTGGTTCCTAGCTGCCGTAGTTGTGAGTGCATATCGGCGTCCTGATAATCGTAGTCTGCCTAGGTGAAGTTTGTGGCCTACTGTGCCGTAGATATAGGTAGCTGTGTCGTGTTCCAGGCTGCCGTAGTTGTAGGTGGCTGTGTCGTGGTTCCGGGTGCCGCTATGTTGTTAGCGTGCGCTGTGTTGTGGTTCCCTGCAGCCGTGTTGTAGCGGGGCTGTGTAGTTGAAGTGCTTGCTGTCGTGTTCCTTTGAGCCGTTAGTTGTAGGTGGCTGTGTCGTGTTTCTGCGTGCAGTAGTTGTAGGTGGCTGTGTTTTGTCCTGGTGCCGTAGTTGTAGGTGGTGTGTAGTTTTAGGTGGCTGTGTTGTGGTTCCCGGTTGCCTAGTTGTAGGTGGCCTGCTGCGCTCCGTGAATCTTTGTGCAGTAGTGTAGGTGCTGTGTCGTGTTCCTCGCCGCTAGTTTGTAGGGGCTGAGTATTTGTAGTGCGCTGTCGGCTTCCTGCGTGCCGTAGTTCGTAGGTGCTGTGTTGTGGCTTCCTGCGTTTCTGGTGCCGTAGTTGTAGGTGGCTGAGTAGTTGTAGGTGGCTGTGTTGTGGTTTCTGGTGCCGTAGTTGTAGGTGGCTGAGTAGTTGTAGGTGGCTGTGTCGTGGTTCCTGGTGCCGTAGTTGTAGGTGGCTGAGTAGTTGTAAGTGGCTGTGTCGTGGTTCCTGGAGCCGTAGTTGTAGGTGGCTGTGTAGACAGTGTAGTTGTAGGTGGCTGTGTTGTAGTTCCCGGTGCCGTAGTTGTAGGTGGCTGTGTCGTGAATCTTTGTGCCGTAGTTGTAGGTGGCTGTGTCGTGGTTCCTGGTGCCGTAGTTGTAGATGGCTGAGTTGTTGTTCCAGGTTGGGTGGTGGCTGAATAATGGCAAAGAGAAGAATTATTGTCACGCTATTTTCTTTCTACGCGGAAAGGAATTGCTGCCAGCATTATCATCATATCACATGTTAACATACGAAACACATATGGGGTTGCATATTAATTATGTGAGTTGTAAAGGTCCACCAACTCTCGCTTACCTTCACCTAGGAAGCAGGCATACAACTCTATTGTCACGTTTAGTTGCGATTGCCCCGGAAGCAACGTCATCGGGTATATTCGTATGCTGCGGACTGATACCGAATTGAGGAATGTTGCGTCTCCCTCAAACGTCTGGAATACAAGTTCAAATAACGTCAGTTTTCTTAGGCTACATAGCGCGAAGAAATAAACAATCTGTCGCTTTTTGTGTATAACCGTGCATTTACAGTAGATTAGACGCGTTACGATACTATAAGTGTTTGGTTTATATTATATTTATAACGATCGTTGGTATGGCAATTGAGATTTTGGAATTCCGTTCATCTATTGATTCGCTACAAGAGGTTGAAGCTTGTGAGGTGGGAGACATGAAATTGAAGAACAATAAATGTTGGAGAATATGTCACGTGTACGATTAAAAAAGTCCACGCAACCCACAAAAATGTTCGTGATTACGCAATTATTCATATACCATAGTAATATCGACCCACGTCTTACGAAAGCGTTTTTTTATAAGAACTCACCGTCGGAAGGGTTTCGTAGTTAATTAGGTCGGTACTAAAGGAGATCGTGTAGGTCTTCACAGATCCTGACACGCCAACTTGACTGAGCTCTATAGCTCCATCACCGAGAATGATCTGGATGTACGTAGTCGAAGGCACAAACGGGTTATCACCTGGCGGCGTCCATCCACCGTTACTGGGTTTAACATCCTCAGCCCCTCTACCCATGTTATCCGTGATCAGTTCATCTTTAATCGTCTGTCCTTGGCTCATTCCTTCATATGCGACACATGGTTCTTGTGTTGTAGTCGGTGGCTGTGTAGTTGTAGGTGGCTGTGTTGTGGTTCCTGGTGCCGTAGTTGTAGGGGGCTGTGTAGTTGTCAGTGGCTGTGTCGTGGTTCCTGGTGCCGTAGTTGTAGGTGGCTGTGTTGTGGTTCCTGGTGCCGTAGTTGTAGGTGGCTGTGTAGTTGTAGGTGGCTGTATAGTTGTAGGTGGCCGTATAATTTCGACAACCGGCGCTTGCTTATATGTAAAGGGACAGCGTGCATATTTACGGCACAGGTCTTGTGATCTCCAGCGCACGGGGTAACCGGCTTCCGAACAGCTATCGGCAAACGAGGCAAGCGCAGTGCAAAGACACTCGCAATCTCCTCCCTGGGAACATCTACGAGAGAAATATCGCGCCGTCGTCAACAGGTGGCGTGTAAGTCACATCACTCGACAACAATCTTGTCTCGGGTAAGGACAATCTTAGGTACAAATCTTAGGTGACAATCTTGTCTCGGTAGAGAACAATCTTAGGTACAAATCTTAGGTGACAATCTTGTCTCGGTAGAAAACAATCTTAGGTACAAATCTTAGGTGACAATCTTGTATCGGTAGAGAACAATCTTAGGTACAAATCTTAGGTGACAATCTTGTCTCGGTAGAGAACAATCTTAGGTACAAATCTTAGGTGACAATCTTCGCGGGAAGAACGATCTTAGGTACATATCTTAGTTGAAAATCTTTTCGGTAGTAACAATCATAGGTACAAATCTTAGGTGACAATCTTGTCTCGGTTAGCGACAATCCTAGGTACAACTCTTAGGTGACAATATTAGCGGTAGGGAGACAGTTTTGTCGGGGGATGCTAGCACGCGATATCACCTAGCAACTTGAGAATGCAGCATCTGCGCGTGTACACATACATACGTACCCGCAAGCATCGTAAATGCAGTTGGAGTGGTATTGCTGGACCAAGATGTCACCCAGAGCTGCGACGCAGTCTTCGAATATGTCATTGTAGATAAAGTTGCATGATCTGTAAGCCCATGAAGCGCGGGCCGATCCCTGCAATACGACAGACGAAAATGTGTGACGGACGTACGGTACAGTACTGAGATTTTCTAGTAGAGTATATTATGTTCAAGAGCTAATAATAATAATAATGTAGAGCTATATAACAATAATGTTCAAGAGCTATATATGTTCAAGAGATAATATCACGTGTATTATACGCTCTTGATATGTTGTATATGAGTACAACAATCGTATACGTATATTATCGCAAGTTACGCGTGTGATACCGCGTTTATATTATGTATTTAAATTTAACCTTCGCCGTGATTTGTTGCAATTACCGACTCTCTGACTGTCTTTACAACGATATTTAGACGGAAACGTATCTATGGTTAGACAAGAATTTCAAATCGATCACAATAAGCAGCTATGATCGATTTGAGAACAGTTCCAATGTCTGCGGCCCATAAGAACGGATTTTGCATAAATTTAATTAATAAAAATAATTTAATTAAATATGTTTTTTTGATAATCGTATTAAATAATTTTATTAAAAAAAGTAAATTTAAACTCACCGCCGACTCGCACGAGTGCGTTTCGTTGATGACGTCAGCGCAAGATGACGACATTTTCCACGAGTTGGCGAACAGTTGCGGGATGGTTTCGACGACCCCGCTCGCCGAGGTGAAGTCGTTTGTTCCGATTCCGTCGTAGTTTCCGCACAAGCCAGTCACGCTGCCCTTATGCATCGGGTCCAAGATGATACGAACTCTGGTTCCTATCGACGTAACAACATCGACGTAATAAGTGACGGTTCATTTTTTTTCCTTTACTATCATCGTTTTTATTTACTGTATTTTTTTCATGACTACGGTATCTCTAGGTTTTCGGTCTTGCTCATTGATCAATATCATCATATATAATTATGCGCATAATTTATTGTCCGTATGATAATGAAGATGGTGGTATAAAAGCCCGGATGTGTCATCCGTATAGAGTCGTAAGATATAAAGCAAGGTTGAATTTGCTGATGTATATTCATTTCAACGAACTTTAACTTGACCACCTAAGAATAAATTAAACCGCAGCTTACGGTATGCGCAATTGCCTCCGCAGCACCTCTACCCATGTTATCCGTGATCTGCTCATCTTTAATCGTCTGTCCTTGGCTCATTCCTTCATATGCAACACATGGTTCTTGTGTTGTAGTCGGTGGCTGTGTAGTTGTAGGTGGCTGTGTAGTTGTAGGTGGCTGTGTCGTGGTTCCTGGTGCCGTAGTTGTAGATGGCTGTGTCGTGGTTCCTATTGCCGTTGTTGTGGGTGGCTGTGTTGTGGTTCCTGGTACCGTATTTGTAGGTGGCTGTGTAGTTGTAGGTGGATATGTTGTGGGTACTGGTGCCGTAGTTGTAGGTGACTGTGTAGTTGTAGGTGGCTGTGTCAATGCTGATTTCATGCAAAGAGAGAAGAACATACCGCTTATTAATATTCTCGTTTGATTCAGATCTCGTTGAGATTGCACAGCCGTCTGTTGTGTGGGCGTATTATTCGTTTCATCGTGTCATCTCCGCAATGACCACATCCTATTTGGAGATGCCACTGCACCCTATTTCAATGCACGCGTAACACTTTATTACAGTGAACTAAAATTGGTTAGGATTCACTCGATCATATTTTGATATATACCGTTGCACGTAATATAAACCTGTAGCCACAATTCACGCCAGATACGTCACTACACTGGCTGAAAAGTACACGCTAGACGCTGGTCCCAGTCGCTCCCGCTGCGCCACAAATCATGGGATCGACAAACACACATGTCCACCTCACAGCGGACAAACAACATCCACCTCACAGCGGACAAACAACCCACCTCACAGCGGACAAACAACATCCACCTCACAGCGGACAAACAACAACCACAATGTGTGGAAAGTTTGACTCACGAGGCTCCATAATCTGCTAAATAACAAAGTTATAGTATTAAATGTATCCGGCCTCTACGACTACGTGCGGAGTGAAGAATAAAAAAGGTTGTTGTTGGAGTTAAAATGCATGAGAACCACAATACTGAACAGCTGCTTAATTGTGTCAATATGACTAATAATCTGGGCTGATTTATCAGTCAATATACGATCTCGGAACATTTATAATATTTCCCGCGCTAAAGCTGCTCCCTGTCCGAAACAGTGTTTCTTAAACGCGTAGCAGGCTCGTCAATCTATGTGGGGCGGGCAGCGAGTAGAACCGCGTGCCACGGCTAGCATCAACTGATCCATTTTTCGAGCCATGGCTCTCGTGTGATTCTCCGCGGCCGTTGTGTTTCGTATGACCACGCGATTGCTATCGCGCGGATATCCGGCTGCTCTACTTTAATCTGCTACGTATTACATACACACTCCAATCTTCTTACATTCGCCTGAGTCATTCAGGTTAGTCCGCCTAACCAGTCGGTTCACGGTTGTCGCATCCTAGTATTGGTTTATGGAGGGATCAGTTGCCCGATTGTCAACGGCAGATTGTTCCGTTTACCATCCGTGTAACATTATCGCCTGCCCTCGAGCTGATTGGGCACGGGACCTTGATAAAGACAATCGAGGTTCTTCTAGATCATAAAAAACAAGTATACGGCACGACGTCTGATGGCGTGTTGCTATCTTGTCCAGACGAGCAGGAATTATGCGCCATACCAGGCATACTGCCTCCATCACGACTCTCTGCGCACCTCCGCACTCGAGCTGTCTCTATTGTTCGGTGTATTGCTTACTATTAACGGTATAGCGTTGCCTCAGACAGCGCGCAAAGTTAATACTCTATGGTCTTTTTGGCTCTCATACTTAAATAATATGCATTTTATCCTTTTTACGCAGTACTTTGCTACGCTTAATATACGCATAGTGCACATTAATTTTTGCTAACGTTATACGCAGTCGTTATTTACGTAACGGCTAAAGTCTCAATGGAGCTCTAAATGTGATGCCCTGTAACAGTAGAACATACGCCAGTGATATCTGTTCTGCGATAATTTGCGGCTTCAAACGCTCTCAGAGCGAGTCTTTGCGCCCTACGTAAAACGAGTCTTTGCTATGACGTTCATACGAGCCAGAGATATACCTATGTGCTGATTGATGCAAAAACAACTGCTGATTGATA